CGCCGAGCCCCGGCGGGCGCGGGGGGGAAACGGTTGCGGGAAAGGGACCCGGGGGACGGCCACGCGCCACTCACGCGTCGAACTTGTTATTCATCCTCTCGCCTCCGCGGCCGCCACAGCCTCACGGAGTGACTTCCGCTCTGTCCAGTCCCTTCGCTCCGGGCCCGGACACTTCCGGTTTTGCGGGCACAGCGGAACGTCAGTGCGCAGGCCCAGTGCCGGACGGTTTTCCGGAGACGCCGGTCCAGGGCGTCTGCGCAGAAGCGCAGGCCCGGCGGAGGGCCGCGGCGGTCGCGGGGCTTCGCGTCGGGCCTCTGGTCACCCATGGGCGGGGCGGGTCCTGGCTCGGGCCCGGCGCTGGCGCCGCCCCCCGGCCGCTCCCTTAAAAACCCCGACGCCGATTCCGCTGTGGCACTCGCCCCGGTGCACGGTGGCACCCGCCCCTCTCTGGCGCCGGCCCTGGCGCAGAGGCGCCTTGCGCTCCAGATTGCCGTGTGATTCCGAGGATAGCCGTCAGGAACGACCCTCCGGGAATGGTAGTAGCGAATGTGCTCCGTGGCTTCCAGAGACAGTCATGCCCAGGTTACCCGCCTACAAGGGCGCCTGTAGGGCCCCCGAGGTGGTCTCACTACCATCAAGTCCTCGCCTCCCCCCCAAACCCCTACCTCGAGGACCCTGACTTCCTCTGTGACTGGAGTAAATAAAATGAACCTGCGGGTGTTGGGACCCAAAGCCAACCCCGTGATTGTGGGCGTGGGCTCCCCATGCCGTAGGTGGCACGTTGAATTTCTGCCTTTGATTCTGCTGTGATCAAAGATCAAGATGAATAGAAAATGATTATTTTCAAAGGAGGAAACAGGCTCAAGGAGGTAAGTGACTGGCATGCTTCTTCCCTGCTCACTCAAAGCGGAGCCATAGTTCTCACCTAGGAAATGTCCTGGCTTTTGAGAAAAGAAGGTAAAGGTAAGAGTTTGCTTTTTCAGGCCCATAGAACTTTTATAGAGTGTCTGAGATTGAGTCAAGTCAGAAATTCTGGACTCCTTACTTTGTGAACCACCAGTGTTCTTTTCTAGAGTATTTCTCTTACTCTGGACTCACTTTGCTCCTATGAAACAAGGGAGAATAATGACTAATGCCTGTCCACCCTTGCTGCTATGAGACCTTGCAATAATGGAAAAAAACAAACTCAGGAAATCTTTTGGGATCAATGGCAAAAAAAAAAATGCACATGAATGGAAAGGCACCACGCAGCTGAGTACTAGTGCTTATGACATTCAAAATACCGTAAGAGGCCAGATGGTGTGTGCTACTGCCACACACGCACACACACACACACACTCTTACAATGCTGGGAATATTGCCTAGGCCCTCACATGCATGCGAAGGACCATTGATCCATACCCCAAATCTCTCCTACTCTTTTTTGTTGTTGTATGCTTGTGTGGGTTTGTGCATATGTGTGTGTGTGTGTCTGTCTGTCTGTCTCTCTGTCTGTCTGTCTGAGTACTGAAGCTTGAACTCAGGGCCCAGGCACTGTCCCTTAGCTTTTTCACTCAGGGATGGTGTTCTACCACTTGATGCTCAGCTCTACTTCCAGTTTTTTTTTTACTGGTTAATTGGAGTCTCAAGAACTTTCCTGCAGACTTTTGAAATGCAGTCCTCAGATCTTAGTATCCCTTCAATGAAGAGAGCTCTTTCAAAGCTGTCTTGACTGCTCTCTTTCCCAGAGGGACTCATAAAAGGGAAGATGTTTCCGGACCTGGAGGGACAGGACCGTGCCCAGTTAGGAGCCTTGTGCAAACCATACTCCTTAGGGCTTTCAAATGACTTGGAGGTCAAGAATGCTTGGCTGAAGTGAGGGCTGTGCTATGTGGAAGTGTGGTAAGTGCAAAGATGAGCCAGCGATTGCCACACGGATGGTGACCCCATTCCCTGATCACAGCCCAGTCCCAACCACTCCAAGACTCCAGCTCCATATTTTATTTCCCCCAGATCTTCTCAGGCCATATGGGTACCTCCCAAACAGCCCATTGGAGCCTCAGCAGGTGAAGAACACTTTGTATAAGACAGCACAAATACACCTCTGCTGGGTCCAGCAGCAATTAACTGGTTCAGTTTGGTGAGGGCAGGTAGGGGCGGGGGTCTCCAGGGAATGGCAGGGCTGGCACCCTGTTGTAGTGGGCCATGAGGAAGATGCCAGCGGTCCCACAGATGAAGAGGGAGAGCATAGCCAGGAAGCAGACCCGGTCCAGCACACGGCCCACTAGGAACCACTCCTCGTTTCCCTGCACATGGGAGGGCACAGGGGAGGGAGCGGAGGGGATGACCGGCCGGCCCTCAGGCTGCCCGACACCCTCTTCCATGCTCTAGTTTCCAGCAAGCCTCCATTCTCTTTCCTTGAACTGTTTTCCCCAGGCCCCAGCCTATCTTCTTCCATGATCCTTGTCCCTTCTCACTCCCTTTGCTGGACACCCCACTCACCCTACCCCAAGATACTCCTTCCAGACCATGCCAACCTACACTGTCAAAGTGATTCTGCTGGTGTTGGGCACGGGCCATGAGGTTGCAGGCATCCACACAGGCCTGGATGGCGGGGGCAGCTTGTTTCAGGCTGCCACAGAACTGACTCTGCCCGGTCTCTGGCCCTTTTTCTGATGGGGCAAGGTGTGGAAGTAAGATGAAGATCAGGAAGAGCAAGCGGCCTCTCCTTAGAGTTCCTGGCCCCTTTCTCCCAAATCTGGACCCTTTCCCAGAGCTCCTGTGCCGTTGCAGCTCCCTGGATGTGCCCGTGTGTATAAACGTCCCCCGTGGCAGCCCAGGCCTCACCCAGCTTCTCCAGAGCAGCTCGCACCAGCCCATCGCGTCGCCGCTGCCGGAAGAGGAGCTCGCTGCGGGGCAGGCAGAGGCCCCCCTCCTCCCCCGTTGGCATGGTCCAGCCTGAGGAGAAGCCGTTCTGGAGCTGGGGCCGGATGTCCTGGACAGCCGCTGGGGCCAGTGGGCGGACATGCATGCGCAGCAGCTGCGGCAGGAGCCGCAGGAACACCTGTGGAGGGCAGGCTCCAGTTGGCTGAGTCTGGGCAGCTAGAGTTTGAAGCTAGAGGTGGGCATAAAAGGCATGAAAGCCTTGCACAGCCGGGGAGGCAGCATGTTCAAGGTAGCAGCTGGCCCCCGGACAGCTTGGCTTTTCTACCCTGTGAAAGGAGCATGGGGTCCCAAAGGCACTCGTTACAAACACAGGTGTGCGTGCATGCGTGCGTGCGTGTGTGTGTGTGTCAGTGTGAACTCAGGGCCTGAGTACTGTGTCTTAGCTTTTTTGCTCAAGAAGGCTGAGCACTCTACAACCTGAGCCACAGCTCCACTTCCAGCTTTTTTGGTAGTTCACTGGAGATGAGTCTCATGGACTTTCCTGTCTGAACTGGCTTTGAACTGTGATCATCAGATCTCAGCCTCCTGAATAGCTAGGATTACAGTCATGAACCACTGGCACAGATTCTTGTTTCCATCCAGTGACCTGAAGTGGACCTAGAAATCTACTTTGTTTTTGTTTTTTTGGTCGTGGGGCTTGAACTCTGGGCCTGGGTGCTGTCCCTCAGCTCTTCAGCTCAAGGCGAACATTCTACCACTTCAGCCACAGCACCACTTCCAACTTTTTCAGCTTATGTGGTGCTGGGGAATTGAACCCAGGGCCTCATGCATGCGAGGCAAGCACTCTACCACTGAGCCACCTTCCCAGCCCTGGAACCTGCATTTTTAACCAGAGCCCTGGCTGTCCGAGGCAGAGCTCACACTCTAGGATCAGAATCTTACCTCCTTCACCTTCTGACTGAGCGACCCTGGACAAGCTACCTAACCTCTCTGTGCTTCTCATCTGTTAAATGGAAATGTTACTAATTACTTGCTGGAGTTTTGGGGAAATTAAATAAGTTAGTATTTGTAATCTCCCTGCTACCCAGTGGGCACCCACTCTGTTCATTCACTTTGGCACACGCCGGCACGTTCATACGGGGTAGGTTTGCCACCAATTTCATATAGAAGAAGAAGACGGCCAGGGATGGAGTGCAGAGGGAGTCATTCCCCAGGGAGTGGGCGGGGCAGAAGGCTGCCCACGGCGGGGGGGGGGGGGTGACTTGCCTTGCGAACGCCTCGGGCCATGGAGTGCGTGTGTGGGGACCTCAAGGACACATTGAGCACGACCACGGCGTTCACAACGATCAGGATGGTCACCACCATCAGGAAGGTCAGGTATCTATTGGTCGGTAGGGATAAGAAGCTGGTACCCCAGATGCAGATGTCACCAGATGCCACCCACCCTTAATCACAGTTCCCTTTGGATCAGTTGATGGAGAACTAGGGAGGTGGAGGCATGGAAGGGGGCTGTGGCGGGGGAAGAGAGCAGGGGCCTGGGGAGGAAGCTCCATGCAGGGCACTTGTTCTGGAGGCTGGGAAAGGAGGAGGCAGGTGGGAGACCCAGCCTTACTTGCTGATGAGTGGAACGGCCTGGGAGGTCTCAGGCACCTTCTTGGCCACGAGAAAGAGGAAGACAGTCTGGGCCAGGAGCACGTTGATGGCTACTGTACACTTCTGGCCACCGGCTGCCCATGACCAAGAGTCTCTCAGAGTGGGTCTTCTCACCCCTGGCGTCCCTCAGAGCAACGGCCCAACCCATGAGAAGCCCACTGTCCCAGTTCTGGATCGCAGTGCCCCATCCCCCCCCCCAGGGCAGGGCCCGCCCTGGCCTCCCAGGAACCCAGGTACCCTTGGCAGGAAGGAAGTAGATGAGAATGGCAACGGAAGAGATAAGCACACAGGGGGCGATGATGTTGATGACGTAGAAGAGGGGCTTGCGCTGGATGAGGAGGTAGAACACCACCTTCTGGTGGCCCGCCTCTTCGGCCGGAGCCTCTGTGTCCAGCAGCATCTTGGCTGGCCGGTGCTGGATGGCCCACTCCCCGTTTTCTGTGGGGGTGGGCGCACAAGGGATGAGTGTGGGCAGGCCTGCGGGCAGGGGGCAGATGATGGGTGCCCCAGGGGGCAGCAGCAGAGGGACTTAGATTAGATGTTAATTCTCCTCCTTTTGTGATCAGTCATCATCACGGGAGAAGTGGGGATTCCATTGGATCTCCCTTTCTATTCTTTGAGAAAAGCTGTCTGGATAGCCCAGGCTGGCTTTAAACTCCCTATCCTCCCCCCTCGGCCACCTGAGCGCTGGGATGACAGCAGTGCACCACCTGGCTCTTCATCGAATCATTTTGGAAAACTTAAAGCTAGAGTTTTCATTTAGAGCTACACGGGAGGGATGCGGCCCTTGTTGGGCCTTGCCTCCAGAGCGACACCTAGTGGGCATGCTGTGGGGCTGCCAGGGAGCTACTACCTGTGAAGGCCTCGGGATCAATGAAAATCCACTCGATGGTCTGCCCGTCTTCCTGGCTCAGTTGCAGGTTAATCTCACTGGTACTGTAGGTCTGGGACCTGAGGGCCCGGAGGAAATAAGGATAAACTGCCACAAGGGAGACCTCACGTCACAGACATACTCATTGGAGGGCAGGGGTGAGCATTTGGCTTTAACACATGCAGCCCTGAGCTTCTGAGGCTTCCATAAAGCTTTGGTGGGAGAAGGGAAGGAAAGAAGAGGGGAGATGAGGGGAAGGGGAGGGAAGGGCTAGGAGGCTATCAGTTGATGCCATCGCCTGTCCAGAGAGCCCAGGGCCACTCTAGCCCTCCCACTGATGAAGACCACAAGGTAGAAAACACATGCCTGCCATGAGAGGACCTCTTGAGCCTCAGGTGGAGCCAGGTCCCTAGCCTCCAGGTGACTCAGAAAACTCATCTCCCACCTCCACCCAGGTGCTGCTTCGCCCCTCCCCTCCACCAACGGCCTCACTGGAAAACGAGGGAGCAGTTCTGCCAGTCGAAGGGGAAGTAGGTGACAGAGACAGAGCAGGACGAGCGGAAGATGGCAGGTGGCAGCCAGTAGATACAGCCATCAGGAGACACAAGCAGGTTGCAGTAGAGGGCCACTTCGAAGACGCCGTCCACACTGTGTGCAGAGGCCAGACTGAGACCCCACAGCCGCAGAGCAGTCCTCTGCCTGCAGGAATGGGAGCCTGGGGACACCAACCCTCCGGTCTGCTACCACCCCCTGGTGGATCCACCTGGAGCTACCACTGCCTCCAGCAGTGGACAGCCTCCCTGGGGTTCCACCTCCTAGTTTTGCTTCTCTTCGTGGACGATCCTTTGTGGCAACAATCTTGTCTAATACTGTTAAGCTTTCAGTTCCAGATAGCACCCAGGGAAGCTGCTTAGAGGGAAGGGAGTGGCCCCAACCCATCGCCTGGCTCAGGGGACAAAGCCAGGTCAGAGGGAGGGGCGTGGCCTTGCCAGATGATCCAGCCCAGGGGGCGGAGCCAAACTAGAGGGCCCAGCCCATGGTACAGAGCCAGGCTAAGAGTCAGAACCTACCCTGGCGCCCCAGCTCAGCCCCAAAGTCCCTGCTCAGCACCCTCCGCGCCTCTGCCTTTGCCCAGGGTCTCCTTGTTCTGCTGGTCCTGACCCTGGCATCTCCCCCCTCCACCCGCTCTGTCCACACCCGCTCCTCACTTGTTCTCCAGCACGATATCTGGGCGCCACACCATGGTGGATGGCACCCGCAGCACCCACAGGCCTCCGTATTCCCCAGGGTCCCAGCGGAGGCGATAGTCACACCACTGCTGCAGGGGTGAGGGCCGGGAAATAGGCCAGGTTTCGGTACCAGCGTGGGAGGCCAGCCAGGTGGCCCAAAGGGCTGGCCAGACGACTTTCACAAGGGGAGCCAGGGCCCTTGATGACAGGCAGAGGAGGGTGACAGGGAGGCGTCTTACCATCTCAATCCAGACGTTGGTGGTGAGCGCCTCCTCTCGCTCATTCTGGGGGTACAGGAGGGAGGACTAAGCTTCCGGGCCTTTCCGACCCTATCCCCACTGGCCAAGAAGGAACACAAGAGGGCCCCAGGCTCTTGAGCCTCTCCTCACACCCTCCTCCCTTGGGGTTCTTCTCCACCCGGAGTGCTGGACAGGGTCTTCTTTCCCCCACCCCCCCCCCCCCCCCCCCGCGGCTCACCAGGGAGATGAGGTTGGTGAGGGTTAGCTTCAGGCTGACATTGACCACGTCGGAGTCTCGCTCCGCCGGCCTCAGGAGAGGATCATAGTTGCGCATCAGGTCAGCGAGCAGGCGTTCCTCCTGATTTCGGCCCTGGACCCCTGCAGGCAATAAGAGAGCCCGGCTGCGTAGAGGCTTTGGGTGCCAGGGCTAGGGGAGGCCCATCAGCCTTCCAGAACCTCCATCCCCTGAGGCCTCGGACCCTTACTCCCCCAGGTCATACCCAAGAACACAGCCAGCAGCGGCAGGAGCAGCTGAGGCCTCTGGATTCCATGCATGGTGCCTCTGCTCTCTCCAGTCACTGTTCCCCAGGTCCAGCACAGAGATGGGCTGGGGTATCATGTGACAGCCTACCCTCCTGCCCTGGCCTGCCTGAGCCCCACCAGCTGTCTGACCACAGCACTGTCAGCTGTCCCAAGATGTGCACAATGTGGGGCTCAGATTACCTGGGCAGCCAGAGGAAGAGGGGCCCCTTTGGCATCCTGGTCCCAACAGAGACAGCCCAGCCCCCAGCCGCTCCCGGTCTTGGGGACTCAGCATATAGCCAGGGACAGATGGGTGAGGGAGAGAAGGTGGGGACAAGGAGGCTGGGGCTGGGGCCGATTTGGCTCCTTCGGTCTGTTCATTCTGGCAGTTGGGGTCTGGTTAGGAATAGAGTGGGTGGTCATGTGTGGTATGTCCGAAGGACTCCTCAACGGACCCATGATGGAGACCCCAGCATGTAGCAGACACAGCCAAAGCCAAGGATATACCGAAGCTGCTCATGGAACCCATGCATGGCCCATGGGAGCAGGTGGATAAGAATCAAGACCATGGAGCCAGGCACTGATGGCTCACACCTATAATCCTAGCTACTCAGGAGGCTGATATCTGAGGATCAAAGTTCAAACCTAGCCCAGGCAGAAAAGTCTGTGAGACTCTTATCTCTCACTATCCAGCAAAGAAGCCAGAAGTGGAGACCCAGCTTAAGTGGAAGAGCACCAGCTTTGAGCAAAAACCAGGTGAGAGAGCACAAGGCCCTGAGTTCAAGACCCAGGACTGGAATGCATGTGTGCGCATGTGCGTGCCCATGCAACGTCAAGACCGTATCTCCTAGAGGCACATGAGAGGGCCAGAGGGCAGGCAAAGGCTGGAGAAGGTAGATTGTCTGCCTTGCACTTTGTGGTGAGCCACGTGAGAAGCTGAGACTTGGGAGCCAGATTCTGCTGCTGGCACGTCTGTGCTCAGGCTACCTGCCTTCTGTTTGTCTGCCTTTCTATCCATCCATCCCAAGTGGACAGGTCAGAGTGTGTCAGCACATGAACAAGAACAACTCAAGAGCCCATCAAGTGGTAGGGTCTTGGGGACAAGGCAGTAAGAACCTTTTGATTACTGAAAGACAACACAATGTCCCCGTGCCTCATGACTGGGGTCTGTGGAAGTCAGGCTTGGAACCCAGCCCCTGAAGGGCCTCAGATCCTGCCTGTCTTTCCATGACTCCAAGAGTAGAGGGAGGGGAGGGAGTAGTGACACCTGTCCTCTCCAGTCATTTCTAATGTCAACCTTTTTTCCAGAGTTACCCTGTGGATGGTTTGTCTGCCGCCCTTGTCAGTCCTATATTAGGCAGCACTGTTTGCTCTAAGGGCCCCTAGGCCCCTCCAAGCACCCAAGAGATCCTCTTTCCCTGGAGTTTCCAAAACCAGCAGCTCCCCACTGGGGATGCCTGACCTCTCCATGCAACCCACCAGTGTCCCCAGATGCAGTCTTCCACCAAATCCCAGAGAAACGAATCCAGCTCTTTATTCCCATCGAAGCCCACCTGCTCTCAAGACTAGTGATGGCCTTTATGGTGAGCAGAGGTGAGCCTTGGCCACTCCCTCCCCGCAGTGGCTGGGAGGAAGGGCAGGGCATGGAACCTGCTTTCTGTAGTGATGTGAATTGTGCCATCTCCTTCTGGGGAAATTCCTGTTCTTGACACTCTCTGCTCCAGGCTGGGAGGTCTCCTTTGTTACCTCCTGTTATGGAGGCTGGAAAAGCCAAGGAGAGTCATCTCTCAGTATCAGCAGGGACAGTGTTTCTAGGACCTCCCCAGATACCAGAATCTCTCCCGTCTCCTTGTATAGAATGGTGTAGTATTTGCATGCTGTGTCTGTGGTTCTCCTGCACAATTGAGATCATCTCTAGATGGTTTATAATCACTAATAAAGTGTAAATGCTATGCAAGTAGTTGTTATAGTATATTGTTTAGAGGATAACAGTCCAAACATGTCTGTACAGGCACATTCCCCCCCCCATAAATATATATTTATAGATATTGTGTGTGTGCCAGTACTGGGGCTTGAACTCAGGGCCAAGGCACTGTCCCTGTGCTCTTTTGCTCAAGGCTGGCACCCTACCACTTGAGCCACAGCTCCACATCTATCTCTTCCCTAGTTAATTGGAGATAAGAGTCTCAGTTTCTTGCTCAGGTTAACTTGGAACTGTGATTAGCTAGCATTATAGGCATGAACCATCAGCGCCCAGCTCCCAAATGTTTTTGATGTGTGTCACCAACACGGGGGGCTGACTATATTTACTTCCCAGGCTCCCTTGCAGATGGAGGTAGCTATGTGATGTGTTGAGCAATGAGATGCCTCAAGGCGTCATGGAGGTCGTTAGCTTCCTGAGGAGAGGCTGAGAGCCCTCTTCTGCCAGAACATAGATGTCATCTGTGGAGCAGAGGTAGCCAGTTCCCAGCTCATGGCAGCAAGCGTGAGAAATGAGGCCAGCGTGCTGGACAGGAAACCAAGAGCCGGGTCCCTGATGGCTTTGTTGAATGAACAAGCCAGTGAAACCATCGCTGCTTCTTGGAGTCTTTCTATATGAAAAAAAGACAGTATTGTTTGCTTAAGCTGTGGTTTTTTGTCCTTCCAGCACTGTGTTTTCCTATTGGATTCTCTGCTCGGTGAGAGGGTGGGCAGCCCTGTTGGAATGGAGAAAGTGGAGGCCACCTGTGGCTGGGTGTGAAGACCTGCAGCCACCTGTGTTGGTCTTGATGCACCAGAGTCCTCCCTGGAGGCTGGTTCACAGCCCACTGCCAACAGCGCCACCGTGTGGCAGACAGTGGCAACGAGCGTGGCGGAAGGTCCCAGCTGCCTGACCCCTCCGGTCTCTGCGGGCATGGCAGGATGAATCCAGAGACTTCCTGAGCTCCCAGCTCCGCAGGTTTCCCTGTTCCCAGGGGAGCACTGAAGATTTGCATCCTGAAGTTTTGGGCACTTCATACAAGGAAGTAGAACAACTTAGGATGATCTTTTTTTTTTTTTTTTTGTCGGTCGTGGGGCTTGAACTCTGGGCCTGGGCGCTGTCCCTCAGCTCTTCAGCTCAAGGCAAGCACTCTACCACTTGAGCCACAGCACCACTTCCGGTTTTCTAGTGGTTTATTGGAGATAAGAGTCTCACGAACTTTCCTGCCCGGGCTGGCTTTGAACCGCGATCCTCAGATCTCAGCCTCCTGAGTAGCTAGGATGACAGGTGTGAGCCACCAGCGCCCGGCCTTAGGATGATCTTTAGATTAAACTGGATGTTCTTTTTCCTGTGAGATTAAAACCTCACTTAAGATTAAAAACCTCACCTGAAGCTGGGCACCGGTGGTGGGGAAGGGAGGAAAGAGAAAAAATGAGGGAGGGAGGGGGTAACAAGTTAGACAAGACATGTACTCACTACCTTACTTATGTAACTGTACCCTTCTGTGCATCACCTTGACAATAACATTCTTTAAAAAAATTAAAAAGATTTGCAAAAGACCCACAAGCCTTACCTGCTTATCCATCAGAGCCAAAAGGTTGCCCCCCAGGGGAAATGGGTTGAACTGTGAAGACACTGAGTCTACAATGAAGAGGTGAATAATTGGGCCAGTGTTCCCTGTTCCCATCTTCTCTCCACCTTGCCACGTTTGGGTGCAAGAGACCTGGACATGAACCCCCCTGGGGACCTCAGGGACTCATTTGTGTGTGTGTGTGTTGCTACTGGCCTGAGCTCAGAGCCTGAGTGCTTTATCGTTCAAGACTGGTGCCCCACCACTTGCATCACAGCTCTACTTCCAGCTTTTGGGTGGTTAACTGGAGATAAGAGTCTCAGACTTTCCTTCCAACCAAGATCCTCCTATCTCAGCAGTTCAAGTAGCTAGGATGACAGGTGTGAGCCACTGACACAGCTAGAGACCCATCTCGCATAGCCCAGGCTCACCAATGAGGAATGGCTAAGTAATCATTCCTTAAATTTACAGGATACAGATGAGCACCTTTCCTGCGACTTGCAAATTCAATGTTACTGCACCAGGTGAGCCAGAGTATCATCCACGCCTCGTGCAGATCAAGAGCCAAGAGCCAAGGGAGGCAGCTCACCCAAGGTCACACTGAAGAAACACACCTCCCAAACTCAGCGAAACAACAGACATTTATTCTCTCACAGTTTCTGGGGGTCCAGAATGCAGGAGCTAGTGAGCAGGGCAGTGCCGGGCAGTCTGGACTCTAAGACTTCCCTGGGGCCGATGTCTCATCGGGAGACCCCTGTGGGAGTGAGAGGACTTGCTTCCAAGTCACCCGTGTGGCTGCGGACAGGAGGCCTGGCCCTGTGGCTTCTCCATGGGCCTCAGCAGCTCAGCTGGCTCTCCCGAGCGCCAGCCGCTGGTGTAAGCGCCAGCGAGCAACCGAAGCCGCGTCTTTGAAATGCCATGCCACCCCAGGCTGCGAATGGAGGCGGTGGAAGCCACATCTCCCAGTTCCTGCCGCCTCCCGCTCGGGCCCCTGGGACAGAACCCAGGGTGGGCTTCAATAGGAGTAGGGTTGCCAGAGACAGTAACTGAAAACACAGGTGCCCAGTGAAATGTGAGTTTCCTACCAACAATACCTCGGAACACACAGGTGCCAAATGTGGTACCACAACCCTCCTTTGGGAAGGAGGAGGAATGCGTGGGGTGGGGACCTTTTTTGGTGCCGAGTAGTCCTCTGGGATTGTGTGTGTGACCTCAGCCCGGGGGTGTGGGGTATCTTGGAGGATGTTAAGCCTGCCCCACCCACTCTAACTCCCAGCTTCCCAGAGGGATGATCCAGATAGGCCCAGGCAGAAAAGGCTGGAAATGACACTGAGCCTGCTGCTCCCACACAGTCAGTGCCTCAGCCTCCCTCTCCTTTCTCCCCGCCCCCCCGTATTACCCTCCCCCAGCCAGATCGCTCAGATTCCTGCCTGCAAGCAGAGGCAAGAGAAGAGGAATCTACTTGTCTCCATCCCTGGCCTGGGAGCAAGTCCCCTGTATCCCCCCAAATTTCAGGGG